CTCCAGAGTCAAGCCGAGCTCGGTCACCTGCTCCTGCAGGCCGAGCAAGGTGCAGTTCAGCTCCTCCTCCTTCTTCTTGGTGTTGCTGGTCTGGCGGGAGTATTCCAGGAAGATGCACAGGCCCCCCACCCCGAAGACGATGGCTTCGCCCAGCAGTTCGGCCCCCAGCTCCGCAGCCACATCCTCGTTCAGCGGCTTGATGGCAGCGCCCCGGAAGCCCATGATGCGCATCTTGGTCCGCATCTCCACCCAGTGGTAGACTGCAAAGGAGAGCGAGGGAGGGAGGGAGCGAGAGAGGGAGAAGGGCCGCTGCGGGTCACAGGACACCAGCCAGCACTCGAGGGAGGCAAGGCCGAGTCCGCACGGCCGCCCCCACCCGGCAGCCCCAAGGCGTGCGTGCGTAGTGGAGGGGGTTCCGGTCCTAGCAAGGGGGAAGCCCCGGGGGAACCGGGGCCGCTTCCTTCTGCCACGGGCAGGACCGGCAGCCCCTAACCCGGGCCAGGCAGTTGAGGGCCACCCTCTTCGGACGGGCTCAACGTCCCTGAGCCAAAAGGCCGGGGCCCATTTGGAGCGCGCTCCGCCCCCTGCCCGCCGCCCTTCCAGCTAGACTGCTCCTGGGGCTGGAGGCTCGACGGCCGCCCCACGTGCCGCCGCAAAGTCACCTTCCCCGCTCGGCGCCTGCGCGTCGCCTACCCCGCGCGCTGCCCACCCCGCGCGCTGCCCTATTGGCCTTCCCCGCCGCGGGCCCCGCCCCCTCCCGCTCCCCATTGGCTACCCCGCGTGCGGCGGGCTGCTGCCGAGGCGCTTACTCACGCTGCGCGGGGGGCCCGCAGATGTACTGGCGGAAGAAGGGGCTGGCGCGCGCCCCGTCCTTGATGCGCGCCGCCAGGGGCTTCGAGAGCTGCCGGACGCCCAGGTAGAGCAACTTGGCGATGGGGAAGGCGCCGGCCACCATCCTCCTCGCGCTCCCAGCGGCCCCCGCGCGGAGCGGCCCGCCAACGTCGAGCGCGCTGACTCCGGCACGCCCCGCCCTTTGCGTAGGCCTCCGGCGTCACGCTGCGTATGCAAATACAACTTATGAATATGCAAATCTGCCCCGGCCACACCCTTCGGACGCGGCGGCGGCGTCAGCGTCAGGGGCGAGACCTGCGCTCCGGTGGCTTCGTTCACTCCTGAATACATAAATCCCGGCCTCCTTTCACGCGCCGCGGAGGGTCGCGTTTCCCTTCACTGCCTCTCCCTCCACCCCCATAGGTGAGGGGGAAAGTGTGCCGGCCCCCTTCAGGGGTGAGCCGGAAAAGCCTCGTCATAGAGACGGCGGGGAGGTCGGGGCGGGTGGCCCTTGGCTGGTGGACTATAGAGATGCGAAGCAGAGCGACCCTCCCGCGGCCGCCCTCTTGGCGTCGCCCTCCGGGAGGACCCCGAGGAGCCGCCTCCCCCTCCCACCAGGTGAAGCTTCGGCTTTGCGGTGGAGCGCCGGACAAGAGCGGGGCTGGAGCGGCCAGGCTGCTGCAGGAGGCGGGGCTGCAAGGCCCATCGTCCTGGCCCAGCGCCCGCGGCCCCCCAGTGGATCTTTGCGGCCTGCAGGCGCTGTGGGCTCCTTGGTGCCCTCTGAGCTTGGCGGGATTTTCTTGCAGGCGTTTCGTGACCGCGCGGCGCAACAGCATCAGTGCCCAGGCGGCCAACCTCGGCGTGCGCTGATGACGTTGGGGCCCCGGGGACTGTGGCGCCCCCTGGCGCAAGAGGGACGCTGGCCGTTTGCCAGGAGGATTCCGTGGGCGTGGGACTTTCTGGGGAGTGCAGGAAGGGGGGGCTCAGCCCATCTCACTGGGCAGACGTTGCACTCTGACAACGAAGGTTTGGATTCGAAGCGTCTGCAAATAAACCCACCAAGCTCAGCCCTGAGGAGCTGCAAAGGCTCGCTGGGCTTGTCTGGGGCTTCGCAAAAGGAGGAAATCCCGCGTTCCCTGGCAGGAAGTTTAACTTCCGGCTGAGTAGCCCAACACGCTCAGGAAAAGCAGTGAAGCGAGGATAAAGGCCGGGCAGAGTCAATGAGGCGAGGAGATGGGTGGTGCCTGGACTTTGCAGCTTTGGTTCCAGGAGGAGCCCTGCGCCCTCCCTGGGAAGCCCCTGCCGGGCATTTTGTGGCCAGGAGACTGACCACACGGGGTCACGCCAGGCCCTGTGAAGGCAGATTGCAGGTGGTTAAGAGGAGAAAAGAGGGTCAGGGGCACCCAAGGCTAAATCCCTTTCCTCTCTGCCCTTTTGTAGGCGCTGCCACCTTCTTTGCCAGAAGAACTAATTGACACCCTTGGGGGGAGCAGCTGCCAAGCGAAACCAACAAGCAGAGAAAGAACCCCCCCCCCCCAGGTTAGTTCCAGGACTGCCAAACACCCAGGACTTCAAACACGACTCCTTTTGTTGAAAGGGCCTGGGGAATTCATTGCACCACAATCCATCTGGAGTAAAATGTCTCTGGGGATTGCCAGTCACTGAGGTCACGGTTGCCCTAAAGGTGCTTTTCCAAAAGGCACCCAGACTTCCTTGTTTTTTCTTCCCCTTGAAATTGTTTCGCTTCTAAAGAACTGAAGAAACTTCCTTGGATGAGAAGCAAAATGTTTTCAAGATAAAAACCCCAAGGAAATCCAGTTGCCTTTTGGAAAAGCACCTTTGGGACACGCCAAAGTTAAAGTTGGACTGAGGCATTTCAGGTCCCAACCCTGGGAAAGTCAAAAAGGCCGACCTTCCTTTCCTCTGGCCCTCATGCAGGCGACTGCCTCCTCTTCAGCCGGAGGATCCAGCCGAGAGAGAGAAAGCAAAATAAACAGCACCAGAAAAAAGTCTCCCATTCTGACATTCGCCCTCAGAACATCTGGGCAGCTGCAAGGTTGGAGGCTTCAGGGAGGAGGGTGAATCCTCCTTTGCCAATGGTGATGGTGCTCCCTTCTTGTCCCTGTGGAAATGGGCATGTTTTAGGCTACCAGACCCCAAGGCAGGGCGTGGCTGAGGGATGCCTCCTCCTCCTCTGGAGAGCTCTCTCCACTGTCCTCACCTTTGGCCTCTGGTGTTTATTCCCAGGAAGCCTCTCCATCCAGTGGCCCTCAGTGAGGCTAAGATGAGGCTGTTCTCATCTCGGAATGTTACTGATGCTAATATTTCTTTGTCGTGCATTCCTGGAACAGAGAGTCATCCGTGGGGTAACTTGCCAGAAGTCCACATTGATTTTGGATCAAGAGACTTTTTGGAAGCAGCTGGCATGCCTTATATCTTGTCCCATACAAAGGGCTGCTTCGCAGATAGTAGCACTACATATATGCGGTAAATTTAGCTATTCTGGGGGAAGAAATACTATTCTTACATCATCTCTGCTGACGTAGATTAATATCCGTCCCCACGCTTGTTTATAAACATGCATTGAAGGGGCAGTTAAAGTCCACCCTTTCATGAGTTCTTAAATAATCCAGCTGTGAATTTAACAGGGAGCCACGAAAGCAGTTCAGCTGACTTCTCAGGCCCACTGTAGTGAGGGTCCCACCCAGACCAAGAAGCCTACAGACGCAAACCTGCATTGGTGTCTCTCTGCACGATCAGAAGCAGCCCCAAATTCAGAAAGGAGCACCCGCTGAGAGCTGCCCTCTTCCGGGAGGAAGACGGGTTCCTCCCCCTTTTCCCTTTGGGTGACGGATCAGGCCAGGCTGAGACTTAATTATGCGACAGCCAATCTTGGCCTCTGAAAACGTTCCGTTAATTACCCTTCCAGAAACTCCCTGTGTTCGGCTTCCTGTCCTAACTAGGAGATGGGAAACTGGAACAGGCTAAGGAGAAACAGACACGCGGGGGATTGTTTTCGTCTTCTGGCGTTTGAAGGGGCCCCTGGGGAAGCATCTCTGCCCTGAGAATGGCTGGCCCTGGTTTGATCCATGGGCTGCTTTCAGCTCATCGGCTTGTTTAAAGAAGCGAGCACGAATCGGACGAGAGAGAAATCGAGAAGCTCCCAGCTTTGTTGCCCAGGAACCAGCGCGAATTGCAACTCGTGGCTCAAACCTTATTGCCGCTAGAATTTTTCTGTCCTCTTTGGAAACCTTGGCCTGATGCTGTCCAGATGCCACAGGAGGGCAGCTTCCAAAGTCATAAACAGCCCTTTGACCTGAGAGCCTGGAAAAGGAAGGAAGGAAGGAAGGAAGGAAGGAAGGCTGCCCTAATGGAAGTGGCTGATTTGGAGCCCTGCAAAAACAATGGGAGGGGAAGATCCCAGAGGGAGCCCAGTGCCAGGACCCTGTTGCTGCTTTCTCGTAAAAGGGGGACTTGGAGAACAGATCGGGAATAGGGTCAGGGTGCTTTTTACACCCTTAAATGGTAACGTGTGGGATGTCGTATCACATG